AAAAATTATATTCTATGCATAATGTACATAATGTAATTGATATTATGTACATATCCTTACATCTTTACACTCTGAAATAAATTGAATGTGTCAACGGGTCTCTACTTTCAAAGTTTCTTTCTATACCGTGTAGATACGTTCACCCATTTTCATAAAATCGATATACATCGATGTTGAGCCATGATTTAATTTCTGCTAAACTAGAAAGTATTGAGAGCTGGACTCTTGATCTATATCTAAATACATATAACAATGTTGGTTGTAGTTTCTTGTGCAGTCTTTAAACGTGAAAGCTCTCTTAAGCGGGCAGAGATAGTATTGTCCACCCAAGAGTAATTTAAGAATCAGGCTGAGGTATTATGAGTTTAAACAAATTATTGCTTAGATATTAATATTAACTTTCTTTTTCACTTGATCGTTTGATGCTTAGCTTCCCACTCTAGTGATCCTTATAACAAAGCTCAGTCGCAGCTAAAAGTTCGTAACTTTTATCTTATAATTCCTACTTCATTCAAAAACTAAATTTATTTTCAACTTTTGGGCTAAAGTCAAAGTCTGAGCAGCTCAAACTTAAAGCGAGCTTTATTCTCTCAGTGTATAAATAAAGCACACGTTAAGAGGCAACAAATTTTAGAACCCAAGTTGTTGCACAAAGGCGAATTGCGCACTATGTTGAGAAGGCACTTTAAATGCAGTGTTGTAAAGTGACATAAAATCAAGTTACAACTTGAGCTGCCGGCACTCGCAAAACTTTGACAATAAAAAACGTCTTCCAATCCGCCGACGTACGCGGCGTATGCGCAATATGATTCCCCCAAATTGACACACAGCCGCTGCTGCTGCTGGCTGCTGGCTGCTGGCTCTTGGCTGCCTACTGCTAAGGCCCCAAATTACAAATTGAGTTTATCAGCGGCAACAAATCAGGAGGCAGCACATAATCATTCATCATATGAGGCAAGCTTGTCTGAAGGGGGGACGCACTACACACACACGCACACGCACATACGATCCGATGTGAGCTCCAATAATATTTGCATTTGTCTTAAGCTCTATCGAAATCCGTGAAAGCAAGATACACGAGAGAGTGTTCGTATAATAGAGGTAAGAGCCAAAAGCCAATAAGCAAAAGTCTTTCACAACATCAACAGAAGGTAAATTCATTTTATATTCGATTGTTGCGAACGCCCTCAAAAAAGCAAGAGCAATGAACAGGGGAGGGATGACATGTGCAACGTTTATCCTAGAAATAAGCCAACGAATCGACGAATCGACGAGCCAAAAATCCCCAAACCAAATGCTCACGAGCAGCGACAACCATAAGTCTAAACCCAATATAGCTCAGCCCAGCCAGATTTGAGTGCAGCTCAGCTAACTCTTCTTCGGTTCTTGTCAAAGTCAAAGTATGCATTAGCATTGTTTACCTGCCTGGCAGGGTGTGTGGCTGGGGTTGGGGCCTGTCAAAGCTAAGGCCAAGGGTATGGCAATAACAATAAAGCAATGAGTAAAACTGACAATTGTGCAGGATATTACGAGACTGGCTTTTATGCTTAACTGTTGCTGCTGCTGCCGCTGCTGCTTCTACTGCTGCTTCATCTTTACCTATCCATTTATCCGTCGTTTTTACGAGTATTGACACTGCAGTCATCGCAATATACGAGCATGGCCATAAAATGGTTGCCCAAAATGATTTTGGATACTTGACATACTATTTGTTTTTCGTTTGCGATTTCCGTTTCATTGAAGGCCCTATTAAATTGCCAGTGAAACTTTCCAATTTTACACATTTCCCTGCTGTAAATCTTAATAACAAGATACAGACACAGATACAGACAGTCAAGCTTCTGAAATCTGTGTGACATGCCAAGAACATTTGTCTTCATCCAAGACTCGACATATAAATGTAAAAAACTTGTAGAGGTTATTATAATCTTTTCTGCTGGGTTATAAAACCTTCTGCGTGCCGTAGATATCATTTCTTTTTCGTTATTCTTAGGCTCAAAACTTGCTTCACAAAGCAAAGCTTAATATATTAATTACAATCTCTGATCTGTTTCACAGCGAACTTTTTTTTTATTATATTTTAATATATTATTGCATTCCTCTTAAATTCGGACAAATGATTGCCTTCATCTGATCGATCTTGCTGACAGGTCGTGTGTATTGTGTCATCGGATTTATAATATCATCAAACGCATTCGACAAATTGTATTGTATTTTGGATGGGAACTTGTTTGAGTAGATTCAATACCAGTTCGCACTCCAGACAATTTGACACCTCGCTGTTGGTCCTAATTTATATGCAAATTGTTTCGTTATAATTTCTCACCAGCTACGCTTAACTTTTAACTCTTTGTTTGGTTTTTTTGGCTTGTGTTTTTTAATGTTTTTTTTTTTTTATTTTACTGCCGCAAGCATGCGCCACTTAATAAACAACCCACACTGAGTAGAATCAGCAGCAGCACAAGCAGCATCAGCGGAAGTGTAAAATAACGAAAATGGCGTTAGCAAGTTTTTAGTTGCCCAAACCCCTAAGCATAACTGAAGTCATGTCAAACAGGGCGACATTTGCAATAAAGGGAAATAATATGCAAATGCAATTATGAGCAACTCCCTCACGATATGAGCAAGACACATATCAGACGCGCATCGGCAACAACTGAAGCGACAGCGTAGACCACAACATTTGTGACTGGCTATACACTAGGTTGGCGGCAGGGTATGACAACCAACTCAAGACGTTTGTAACATGAATCAAATAAGATATATTCGATGTAAATTTGCCTGCTTGACCAATAATAGTTTAGTCTGAGCAATTCATTTTGTTGGCTTTCTAGATATTAGTCTATTGTTCTCCTCACATCACAAAAAAACTTTTGATTGAAATGTGAGCTCTCTTATGAGCTCTCTAAGCTAAGGTAAATTTCTGTAAATATTGAACTTCTATACTATATCTATACTATAGACTATACTATATATAAACTTTCTATATTAAGAGGAAATATCCACAGAATAATTAATGCATTTTTCGATATATCCTTTTAGTTTAGTAACTCGTAATTCGTAAAATACATAAACGCTAGATACACAAAATTTATTTTATAGATTTTCGAATAGTTATTCATCTCTATAATATTTCACTCTCACGCCGATACAAGTTACAAAGCTGCAGTAATAGCATATCAGCTGTAAAGAAAAGAAATTTATTCCCAAACAAAAATAATAATAATAATAGTAATATCTCACATTTCAAATACCCTTCCCATGTTATCCACGAAATTAAAAGCAGCTCATTTTGGTTGTATAGACTTCGTCTTTGGTATGCATATGCGATTACTTGGCATATTTATTCGCTGAAAGTCTAAAAGAGATCGGACTATAAACACCGAAATTAATCAAAAATGAATTTATCCACAGTTTGCGTTTAAGGGTGCGTAAATAGAAGCTACAATGTTTGTAACAAGAACTTGGCGCTGCGTAAAGGGTATCTCCTACTTGTCTCCCTTCTTATATAGTAATATATCTCACACCTTTTTTTACAAGTCTGCTAGGGTATTTAGGCTTCGGTAGCATAAACATCGCTGTTTTCGCTTCTTCATTTTTTTAGGGTAACTTTATTTTCATAACATAAATAAGCACATCCTTTCAGCTGCCGTCGAGTTATTGGAATCTTGTTATTGTTGGCATATATAGACATTCTTCGAATTTAAAAGCAATGCATAAACGCGCACCTATGGATATATAATACAAGAGGAATACTTGTTGGCTGTAGATAAAAATTGCCGGCAGTGGCTAATCAGAGCAACTTATATGTGCCATAAATTAGAAGGCGACAGAGCGACATCCGTTAAACATTTGCCGCCTTTTCCAGGCCCTCTGATGTGTCCGGTACGTGGCGGGTTTGCCCAGTGGGTGGCTGGCTCTGTTTATGCTGGTCGCTGGCTCGAGTCTGGCTGGCCCACTGGCTGGCTGGCTGTCCAGTCTCTCTCTCTCTCTCTCTCTCTCTCTGTGTGTAGTCTGGCTGATGCATGAAATGTAATAAATTTCGTTATCTATGCATTATTTATGCCGTAATTTGGTATTTTAGCCCAAAAACAGAAAAATGAAAAGCGTCAAGCGCCCTGGCAGCAAACGGCCCCCATCCAAACTGTGGACAGGCCCACATTGCTTCAGCCTTCAACAGAAATGGCGTCAGGTCAACGTTACACATTTTCACCAATTTTCCTCCTCTCACCATTTATATATATATGTGTGTGTGTGTGTGTGTGCGCGCATAAATTACACTTAGAGCATTCCGTTTTTGGGATGTGTGCAAAATATATATATAATATAGATATATATATACATAGCTATTTCGTGTATCTGTATATATGTTTTAAATGTAATGTTGCTTGCAAAAAGTTGTCTGGCTCTTTGTGGCTAAACATTGGTAAATTGGCCTCAACCTGGGCACGTTTTGACCACGCTCAAGCACTTTAATCAATCTTCAAATTTACAAATATTATCCAAAATATTTTCAAAAAGTTAACAAATTTAATAAAATACAGTGTGTTTGGGCCGACTCGTGTGTATAGGATATGAGTTCTTTTTTAAACTGTGATCTCTATGAAATTTTCAGGGAATATGAAAGACAAATTGTGAGTACAATTTTGCGGCGAACTGCGATAGACATGCAAAAAGTGAAACATGATGGATATAATATAATATAATATAATATTCAAAAAAGTACATGTAAAATTTGGTGTATCTAGTTTTTATATTTCTCGAGTTATGTTTGATAAAAATTGATATTTATCAATATAATGAAAGTTGTGTAGAAGAATATATACTTCAGGTGTCAGGTCTTTAGGGTTTCTAGTTTCTGACTCAGGCAAACGGATAGACAGTCAAAGAATACAAAAACAAATACAAGCTAAATGAGACAAGAACAAATCAGTTCAGCTCAGAAGCAAACCTTCAGGACTTTAGGGTTGGAAAAATAGACAAAACAAAAAGTTTAGATCAACATTTAATTTATTTTGTAAGTTTTAATATAGCTTCTTAGGCAACGGGGGCGACGGGCAAATGGGCGCCCGATGGCTGGAAACCGTTCTCATCGGCAATGTAGCTGACTTCGTAGTTCTGACCATCATCGCCAATGTACTTGAATGAGCCCTTAACGGAAATAGCCTCATTTTCTGAGCCAATGTTCTGCAGCTGACCTTGTGCACTTGCCGAACTGCCGTCGGATGTCTCGTAGCTGTAGCGTCAAAAGCAAAGGATTAGCAAATGCTGGACAGTAGCCCGTCTTAAGGTTTAATAATTACGCGTAGTTGAATGATTCAGGTCCAACGTCGGCATCGTTGCGCACAATTACTACATCAGCGGGTGCGGCCAGGGCGACGGCGAAGAGCGCAACGAAGACGATCAGGAACTTCATTTTTAGGTTTTTGTGTTGCGCGTTTGAGGTATCAAAGGTAACTATACTAACATCAGCCAAGTGGACGCGTATTTATATCAAAGCTTGCAACAAATTCGGATTGGATAAAACTAGTTTATCGCTTCATATTGAATGGCGAAAAAGTATAAAACTAATGAAATGAAATAAAACTTGTTATAGTGGGTCTTATGTTTGCGTTGATTAAAAACGTCACAAGGCGAAGACGTGCAGACGACAAATGAATTCAAATTCGGCAACCCATTTACATAATCTACATATATATGTATATATATAGTATAAAATATATATATATATAGTATAAAATATGTTTTGATATACATAAACTATATGAATTATATGCGGCAACTCTTGATTTCCTTAACTTTATTTATACACTCTCTGTTCTTCTCACAAGTATTAAGTTCTAAATCCAATTAGCAACTATTCGAAGTTCTTGAAACATGTTTATCCATTATCGCTGGCAGTTTACACCTCGAGATGCGCGCTCGAGATGCCTGCCTATGCTAATCTCTCTCAATATATATATATATATATGTATAGTTGGTGTATGTGATATCCACTATCACTTTCAGCCAACTTAGATGCGTAGAGACGAGCAGATAGATACATTGATTTAAGCAGATGCGTCTCACTTGTGCCGCCGGTTGACAACCCCGCACACGCCGCTTGATCTTGACCAGACTCAAGCCCGGGCCCAGATCTAGACCGGCCAAGGTTACGGCTTTGCCAATAGCTGTTTGACTGGTCGCTGCGGCATCTTTGTCGAATATATTATAAAGCTTTATGTTTTCAATTTCGTTTTCTTTTATCGAAACGAACGATTTCTTGCAGATTTTGCGCCACTTGAAAATTCTTCTAAAGCTTTACAAATTTTTTTTTTTTGTATATTATATACAATTAATATTCAGAAATTATTACACGGACTTGTGTCCTTTGTCCTTTTCGTCAAAGTTTATAAATATTTTTCCCTCTCATTTTCGTCAATTTTACTTAAGAATTTCAAAATTGCGTCTTACCCACAAATTGAACTTTTATGTTTCCTAGGCCCTTTTTCTTAACAAAAGATACTGTTCATATTTTTATTAGAAATCAATCTAAAGTAATCTCTCGTTGAACCAATATTGTGGAGATTTTCCCGAATCCCCATTTTTGTGTTCTTTTTGTGAACAGTTCAGCTTTCTAGCTCTTACGGCTTAGATTGGGCTCTGTTTATCAAATAACTTCCTTTTGGCTTTTGGATGGGTCCCAATTTCTTTGCTCTTTGCTTTCCCTTTAGATCTACTTGGCATTTAAATCTGACTACAAAATAATTTATTTAGAGTATAGCGACAGATGAACATACACAATAATAAAAATAAAAAGGTTGATCAAACTATATTAAATTAAATTAAATCGACAGGATAGAAGAATTGCGATGGGAAATCGGAGGGGAAATTAAAATGAATGGTTGTTAACAATAATAATTGATAACTTTCCTTTTGTTAGTTTATCTCAATTAGAAAATATATTTTTAAAATTTGTTTATTAGTTCTTTGAGGCAATTGAATTGTAATTACTTGAGCCAGCATTTACTTAGTCCGTAGATTGATTCGCAACAGACACAAACGTTATGTCAAGCATTGGGGCCCATTTGAAGATATGGAAGCCAAGCGCAAGGGGTCTATAAAGTGAATCCACTTAATCTTCCACGAACACAAGACAGTGCTTTTACTATGAACGACATTGTGGCATGGGTCTATATGGATTTTTTTTGCTCGCATCTGCAAATATTGCATGAAAATTTTATTGAATTCTCTGCCATTTTTGTGCGGCAACCAGTTGGCAGTTGGCACTGTGCTCGCCTTAGTCTGAGGCTGGTGGCATTTACTTGAATTTTACAGCAGATGCACTTACGCAATGTTTTGCCAACATAAATTACATTTACTAGTATTGTGAACGTGGCGTATGAATAACTTTTGCAGGCCAACAATAAACTGCAACAACATGCCGCAACCCCAGGCAAAGCAGCGGCTGTAGAACATGCAACGCAGCTTGTCAAGATATTCAGCACATAGATATAATCATGTATGCATGCTAATGTCTATCCACTCAGCCAGATGGGTTCCTCAAGAACACGCCAACGTACATCCAAGATACTATATACTAAGTATACCATGCAGGAAACTAAAAATCAATTGAGCTAGTAGTCTTTAGCATCGATCAGGGATGAGCTACTTTTGACTGTTTGCATAGGAAAACACAAAAACTTTAGATCAACATTTAATTTAATTCAGTTTTAATATAGCTTCTTAAGCTTCGGGGGCGACGGGCAAATGGGCGCCCGATGGCTGGAAACCGTTCTCATCGGCAACATAGGTGACTTCATAGGTGACACCATCATCGGCAACGAACCTGTATGAGCCACGGACGGCGATAGCCTCCTGTTCAGTACCAGCATTGTTCAGCTGACCTGCTTCCTCTGCACTAATGCCATTGGATGTCTCGTAGCTGTAGCATCAAAAGCAAAGGATTAGCAAATGCTGGATAGTAGCCAGTTTTAAGGGTTAATAATTACTTGTATTTGTATGATTCGGGTCCAACGTCGGCATCGTTGCGCACAACGACTGCATCAGAATCGGCGGGTGCGGCCAGGGCGACGGCGAAGAGCGCAACGAAGACGATCAGGAATTTCATTTTTAGGTTTTTGTGTTGCGCGTTTGAAGTATCAAAGGTAACTATACTAACATCAGCCAAGTGGACGCGTATTTATATCAAAGTTTGAAAATAAATTTGCATTTCGCACGGCCGCAGCTTCCGAATCGGCTGTGGGCGATTTCAGGGTCAGCATTTTGAATAAAGAACTTCATGTTTAGCATCTGTATAACTAGTTTTGAGGCCCCTAAAATGAACTATGTATTTTGAATAGTTTGAATTCGTGGCGATATTCATTGGAAACTAGTTTACTGCTTAAGACGACAATAGCTGAGACTAAAGCAAGATAAAATGAAAAATTACCAAAAATAAAAATTCGTATCATACATATTTATTAGAAAAAATCAAACAAGTATTAAAATTAGCCTACGGGGCCTCTACGTGAATATTTTATATGGCATACGCCAGTTGCCGATTTTATTGGGATTACATGAATGTCAAAAAAAAAAAAAAATGCTCTGCGACTACAGTAAAATATATTATAATAAACCTTCAGCTGCAAGAAATTCGACTGGGGTTCACTTAATATATTTGACTAGATAAATTAAAGTAAAAACTCTATGTTTGGTCTGCACGGGGCTTTGATCTCTTGACTTTAATATTAAAATCAAATAACAAAAATCCAATATGTTTCCATTAACTTGCTGAGTACACGTTGAGGTGAAGGACGGGAAGGGCTCTAATGAATGCGGATTAAGAGAGAATATGCATATGAATACTTTTGGGGGCCACTTTAAAAGCACTTCTTCAACCATTTCATGCAGCTTGCCCCACTTTATCAACGTTATAAGATTTTCTTTTCAATTCGTTGTAGTCCGAGTATTTTTCAAAATGCATTTAACTCACTTTGTCATAGTCCGTAAATTTGAAATGTCATTGCGACTTTCAACTGTCGACTAGCGCACAACCTTGTGGCTTTCATATGACATCCTACACATATCCTGGCACCGAGCCGGAGACAGGGACAGAGATAGAGAACGCCACAGTCGTAGACAGGGCCAGCTCTGTGCGAGTGCAAGTGAGAGAGCTGCCAGAATCCCAGTCAATTTTGTGCTGCAGCTGCCCTTAAAGCGTACAGCATAAAAATATATATATATGAAAAGCAGATATACATATAGCCGGCTCTAGATCCGGCTCTAGAAATGAGAAGGAAAGAAAATTGCAGAAAATAAAAACCAAACATAATTGGAATATTGAAAATCTCAAGCCAGTTTCCGAATATAAAAAATATTTTACATTTAAATTTAATCAATAACTAATTACCCTTTCTCATGCAACCGATTCATTGTAATTGATTTATTTAATGCTTATTTAAAACTTAATTAATATTGTTATATATATTGTCTACATTTAAGCATTTATGCTTAATTTTCTTCATATCATAATCAGAGGAAATTACTCAGATTTTAATATTTCTCCCTGATTTGAACCGGCAACCTCTCTTCCGCGATGCTTCTATTACTGCCTCTTTGATTACGTTTTTTTATACAACCTTTGACCACTGGAGTGTAATTTTATTTTGCTAAAATTATGCCTTAGTATATGCCAGCTTTAAGCTGCGGGGCCGCATTCAATTTGTCGCAACACCTCACCTGTTCTCACCTTGCCAGGGAAGCTGACCGCACGCCATAAGAAATAAATTATTTCTTATCGGAGCAACCGAACTGGCCACAGAAAAGTTTTTTGTCTACACAGAAACTGCAACGTTTTCTATCTGCAATTTCTACTTTTTTTTTTTGTCACTCGATAATTTGTAGAAGTCCTTCGTCCTGTCGTAAATTGTCTTTGGCAGCCCAACAGGCTGTCTGGACCGTTTCGAATCGCAGTCGCCGGCGGCCTGGGTCCGTTCCTCGACCCTGCCAAAAGTTTAGCACAAGACGACGCGCTGGGCGCGACAGCCAAATCAACAAGCAATTGTTGCTGGTAAAACACGTTTCTGCCCCGTCCCCCTGCGAAACCAAGCCCGCAATTTCCCCGCTCCCATCTTGTTGGCAGCGTCTATAAAGATTACAGCGCAGCAGGAGCGACAAAACTTTTTAATTTTATAAAAACAAACGGCAAGCATTTGAACTACGACACCGACCACAGCTCAAGCAGAAGACAGAATAGAGACCGACTCTGAAAGATAGAAAAATATATATAGGAATATATAAAAGCATCTTAATATAATACAAAATTACGTTTGATGAACATGGCTATTGTTCAAGTCATTGGGCAGTTAACTACGAACTACAAACTGCAAACTACAAATTCAAAAATAAACCACAAAAAAGAAAATTCGCTTAGGCCATTCTCCTATTTTTATAGCTAATATTTACCCATATTTTTTTAAAGCAAAAAACTGTCTGTTCTTCGGACTTTACCTAAAAATAGTAAAAATCTGCATAAAAAACTTTGTTTTTCCATATATAAGATAACGATGAAAGTATCCGGCTATAAATTTATATTTATTGTTCGATAATTACACTTTTCTGCCTGATTTGAGCCAGCGACTTATCGCTTGTCCGTCCAACTCTAAGTTTACAAAGTAGACAGATATCTATTTTTGCGTAGTTGATTGTTTTTTTTTTTTAACAATCTTTCACCACTAAGGGGTCAAAAGTGGAGCTTTGTTTTGATGATATGTAAAGACTCTTATGTTCCTTATTTACTTCCTCTAGCTCTAATAGTGTCTGAGATTGAGACTTTCACACAAAGGGTATTTCCTGGCTAGAATCGAGTGTTTATAATTATCAAAAATCTCTACCTTGTCTTTAACATTTATGGATGCGGTTTTTACAAATAGAAAAAGATAAAGATTGAAACTCTTATTTTGCAGCTCATTGGAATGAAGTTTAGTTATAACTGTTATAAATGTTATAAATGTTCTTTCGAAGCAGCTTTTACCTATTTTCGAAAAATCGTCTAGATGTGAAGAACTGTTATACTAGCTTTTGAAAACAGTTTTTACATGTCCCAACAAACATGACAAACTGTTCTTTAGCGTTACTCTTATATTGCTGTTATCTTTAACAGCATTCGGTGCCGTTATATTGCTGTTAATTTTAACACGCGAGTAAACAGTTGCAAGATTTCCTAGAGGGAAACGGTTAAGCTTTCTTAAAGGATGTCGAGCTTTTGAAGCTTTCTTTGCACCGTTGAGCTTTAAATAAACTTTTTTTAGGGAAATTTTATCGAACACACACACCAAAAGCTTTTACACTAAGAAAAATAAACCCTTTTTTTTTAAAGACTCACGCCTTTGCTGGCCTGAAATGCATTTCAGACCGAGTCAAGTTTTTGCCACTAATTGAAATTCTTTATTTATCAGCTTGCCATCGATGCCCGGTTGAGGTTGCATTTGCTGCTGCCACTGTTTGTCTCTTTATAGAGCACCTGCCCCACAGAACGCCTCACCTGTTATGTTCTGGCTGGAAACTGTTTTCATTTATTTGCTGCTTGGCTTTTTGTTTTGCTTGACGGTTAGAGGCAGGTGCGCGGTAGTTGAGGATTTGGCTTGCTATTTCCGCTCAGCGCATGACGCGCAGCGGAACAAAAGAAAAATTGTAATGAAATTCGAAACTGCAAGAGCAAACAACAACTGAGAGATGCCTAAAACGAGCTGAAAGCGGGAAATATCCTCTAAGAGGCAAAAAAAAAGTGCTCTAGTTTGGAGTGCGCGCTGGGATATACCCTAAGCCCCTCTGCACTAAGCCTCGAGCTACAGCAAAACAGACACACACACTAGCATACATGTTGCTTCTTTCTTTAATCCCACACTGCGGGAACTTCGGCATTTATTTCCTGATCTCTTTTTAAGGGCATATATATGCAACAAAATTTGTGTTAATATGGAGGCTTAGGCAACTTTGCAAAGAACGGGAGCGATGTATACAATATATACAGAATATTATGTTATATTATATTATATGCTCCGAGATATGCTCTAAATACAATAGGAAAGTTTGCTATGATCTAAAATTGATCTGCCTGGACAGGGGAGGATCTAAACAAGGACAATTCATTTAGTTGGTGATGCTGAAGTATTTATTTATATATATTTATAGCAGATGCTTTCTTCGGAGAAGCTTCCCTCTGCCTGTTCCATACATTGCCAAACAGCCAATATACCCTTTCGAATCATACTCAAAGGATCCTGAGCATGAAAGAAATCACTTTGGCTGGTTCAACTTGATTCAAATGCAACCTTGATTTAAGCCAAACACAAATACATTTTTCGATATTTGAATGTGGAATAATCGAGGGTTTTTTTTCTCTAGTATATTCAGCTATAAATGTGACAAAATGTCATCAAGTGTTACACATGTGTGTGTGTGTGTCTGTGTGTGTGTCTTAAGAGTTCCATCATTATAAACATCAAATATTTCTATGTAAGTGTCAAAAAAATGTTATTATGGGTTTGCCTCAAATGAAGAATGGCAAACTGGCTGACTGTATGCAAGTGTTCGTAATGTGTGTGTGTGTGTATGTGTGTGTGTAATTGTGTGTGTGTGTCGACTGTCAACCTTTGTCAGTCGATTTGTTTGTGAAATGCTAATCCTATAAGAGCGACTGTCTCGTACGCGTCATTTAATCAGTGAAAATCACAAAATGCGAGACAACACCGGAAACTTGTGTGTGTTACGACTGCAAAATTCCATTTCCTCTTCTAGATACACACACACACACATGTGGGTGTACGTGTGTGTGCAAGAACAATTCAGAATATACTATAGTATATAATTTAACATGCTTACAATAATGAAAGCAACTGAACAATAGTTAACCATTTGCCCGGGCTTAATCATGCATGTTAACAGTCTTTTGATATAAACAATAAAATGGTTTAATAAATGACCCTTAATAGATCAATATTACTTATGGATGGCCCTTTGTTATAGGCTGTGAAAGGGCTTTTATGGGCGCTAATTCGAAACATTTAGAATAAGCGCCCAGAAAAGACCCTTCTATTCCCAAAAATAGGTGCAACCATTGGCAAAAACAATTGATAATATCTAGTTGTTAAAGGCTGAAG